AACTCCCTAAGACTTCTACTCGACAGGTCTACAGCTGTCTCTTATACACATCTAGATGTGTATAAGAGACAGGAGAGAGAGAGAGAGAGAGAGAGAGAGAGAGAGAGAGAGAACAGCCAGAATAGGGGCGCGCAGCGCTATAGCTTTTAGCATAGAGAGAGTGATATTGAGGATGATCAAGACTCGAGGGGAGAGGCTTACCTGACTTACCTGTTCCTTCTGGTGATGGTGAGACCATAGCCTGCTCATGAGCACTGGCCGCGATGAGTGCCAACCTCCATAGCTGAGCTTCGCGCTGGAGGTTGGGTCTGCCTGTGGAAAGGGACTGCTGCAGAGTGATTTGATTGGTGACAAAAGTAGGGGTATAGGATTGCTGAGGTGGTGAGTTGAGGGGGAGTGGACCTGAAGCAGAAGGGGGACTGGAAGAGCCAAGCAATTGTATCCATTATTCATTATTCAACTTTTCCTCCTCCAGGACCTCCTCTCCATTTCTTCTCTACCTTTGTCCTAATTTCCTGGGGACTTGCCATTGCACTTGAGGCGACATTGTGTGTGCGAAGACGATATGCACAATTCTCTTATTGTGGGCTTCTCGTGAGCTTTTCATTACATTTGTTGTAGTCGCCGTCGCTGCCATCGTCGTCATTGTTGTCGTCGGCGGCGGCGGCGGCGACGGCGTCATCGTGGTTGTTGTCGTCATCATCGTTGTTGTTGTTTTGGATGGAGTCAGGAGTGAGGACTTCATTTTTTGAGTTTTTTATTACCTAAGGCGTACCTTTGCCACTAGCACCTTTTTTAGTACTCCTTGAACTAATTTCTTATTGCCTTCGCGCACTAAGTCTAGGAATAGGTTATTTGCCAATATGATGGCTGGTTGCTTGGAGCCTTGGACTATGTTGCCTATGGAAGGTATCATGTATTTAGCTCATCTTGCACCTTTTCACATTGTTTTCACATTAACTGGGTTAGAGTTAGGTGTTGCTGTATTACAAGCTTATGTTTTTACTACATTCTACTATGTATTTATTGAAAAAAGGCTTTAAATCTTCATGAAGGGCTGAGCGGTACACACACTGCCAGGTGCAAAAAAGTTAGGGACATCTTCTTCCTTCAAATAGAAGAAAAAGTTAAAAAAACTTTAAACTTTAAAAAGGTGATGCCAACCTAGAAGCACTCTTCAAGCACAAAAGGCCTCATGGTCTTCTGAAACAAACAAAACAAAACAACAACAACAACAACAACAACACTACCGTCTTCACTCGAGAATAACTCCCAGGCCCCGGACGTTATATTCAACTTACCCCCCCAAAATCAGATTTTTGCTTTTACTCACTCTTTTTATCCGAATAGAACACCCCTTCGAAAAGAACGCCCTTTTAATATAACGCCCAGGCGTTTTATTCGAATAGAACGCCCGAGCGTTATATTTGAATAGAACACCCGGGCGTTATATTTGAATGTTCTATGGGCAGAATGCCTTGTAGAGGGAGTATACAAGGTTTTTAAAGGGGGTGAAGGGGGGTATACATGGTTTTTAAAGGGAGTTGGAAGGGTTTTGACTTCCAAGGGTGCGTTTCATACTTGCGGCAAATCACGTGCGCACATGCACGTGATGCAGCGCACCCCAACAATTAGGGTTGATCAAAAAATTCGGAAAGGGCAGGCTGTGGTAGCCAAATGTGCCCCTCCCTTCTGAAAATTATACGTGCACAGAAAAAAAAAAAAAAAAAAATTGGGGCCACATCGTACCCCTCGTTGGATCCAGTCTCTTTTCCGAAGGGGCCCCAGCAAAGAAAGAGTACGGGTCCCTTTTTGTTAGCAGAGACGTTCCTCAAATTTCGAGTTTGACACGAGCAGGCCAGCAATATATGCTCTGGGTTCGAATTCAGGTCTGTGTTCCAGCAGTTATGGGTTACTACTACTTACCACAGTAGCACTCTCTTCTTTTTGTTTTCCTTTTCTTACGTGCAGTGGCCGTAAGGGCCTCACTCCACTACTGTCTTCACCCGAAAATAACGCCCGGGCGTTGTGTACGAATATAATGCCCGCCGGGCATTTTATTCATTTATAACGCCCGGGGGTTATATTCAGTAAATTTGTGGTAACTTCGGTGAGGCCCCAAAATTCCGAGAAAAAAAAAAATAAATAAATTCTGTAAGAAAAAATATGTTGTCCAGGATTGGAATGCGACCAACTTTTGGCTGAGGGTCACTTCAGAATTCCTTATTAAAAATAATAATAATAATAATGATAATAATAAATAATCAAATTAAATTAAAAAAAAAAGAAAAATCCTTATAAAGATGGAAATAAAAAATAAAAACGAAAACCAAAGCCAAAATATACCACTTGGAAGCCAAAACCCCATTCAACCCTCTTCAAAACCCATGTATACTACCTCTTAAAGGCACTCTGCCCATAGAACATTCAAAGATAACGACTGGGCGTTCTATTTGAATATAACACCCGGGGGTTCTATTCGAAGGCGTGTTCTATTTGAAAAAAAGTGAGTAAAAACGAAAATCTCATCTTTTTAGAGTAAGTTGAATATAACACCCGGGCGTTATTTTCGGGTGAAGACGGTAGTCACCAATTGCACAAAAGACAAAACATATGGCGGCGTATGGTTCCATGTTCTAGCAGAAGATTCATTCTAGTTTTGCACATGGTGCGTAGTGGAGGGAAGCCCTGAAAATCACGTGCTGAGTTAGTAACCCATAACTGCTGAAACACGGACCTGAATTCAAATCTACATTATATATAGTTGGCCTGCTACTTCCTTATCATAAGTCCAATGCCTACCTCTTTCTTGGCGAGGGGACCCCTGCTAATTATCTGCAGGGGCCTTTAGGATTACCCGCAGGGGTTTTCTGATTTATGTGAAAGGGCTCTTTGCTCTCTCTCTCTCTCTCTCTCTCTCTCTCTCTCTCTCTCTCTCTCTCTCTCTCTCTCTCTCTCTCTCTCTCTCTCTCGTGTATACACACATCACGACCACTTTTTTTTCCTTCTTCTTTTCCCGCACAGCAGCGATGCGCGCACCGCACCGCACATATGCGCCGCAAGTATGGTACGTTTTGGTTTGATTTTTCGTTTTCTTTTTTTATTTCCGGGTCTATAAGGAATTCTGAAGTGACTCTCAGTCAAAATCAAAAGTTGGTTGCATTGCAATTCTAGACAACAGATGTTGATTTTTTGTCTCTTGGGAATTTTGGGGCCCCACCGAAGTTGCCACCACTTTACCGAATATAACGTGCGGGTGTTATAAACAAATATAACGCCCATCAGGCGTTATATTCGTATAAACATACTGAAGGTCGATCACTTAAACCATCAAACGAAGGGGAGGGAGGGAGGGAGGGAGGGAGGGAGGGAGGGATGAAATATGGAAGAACCTGTTCCTGGTGCGCTGAATCTCCACCTCTGCGTTCACACTGATCTCCTTCTGCTTTAATACCTGCTTAGTAACAACCGCACAGAACCAATCAATGGGAACTCAAATTTCCCGAGCTGCTAAAGATCCAAAGCGGGACAAGCATATCTGAGCAAAGTCAAAAGCAGATATACAAATTCAAATTAAAAAAAAACAAAAAAAAAGCTAAGAGTACACCAAATGAGAACACCCTCAACGTTGAAATCTATCAATCAAGAAAGCCCAACTTCTCGCCTGCACTCGTCAATACAACAACAATGTAGCAGCTCTACTATGATGTGACTGCCTATACTAACCTCCTACTCTTTTCTTGTACACCTCGCACTGCTCTTTCTCTCTCTCTCTTGCAATCAGACTCGCTTTCATTCACACTTCACATGCATGCAAACAGGTTGCGCAGCAAACTGGCGTCAAGCGCCCACTCAGAACTCAGAGATATAGTAACCAGGAATGCAGCTCAGATACAAGTTCACTTCAAATGGCTATGGCGGCACATCGCCTGTACAACTCTCTGTTCGTCACTTACTCAACACTGCTGTTTGCACACAGGGCCACCCTGGATATCCCACATGCAACACACTACACACTCGCACACTCACACACGCTGCTCTCTCTCCTATCAGCTATGGCGGCTATGGCCGCTGCTACCCTATCGCTATGGCTAAGCTTCCCTCTCGCCCACTTCGTCTTCGGGCTCAGTGCAGACCACCTCGCACAAGTCACTGTGGCAGCGCTTCCGCATGGCTTACGCAGGAATGAATGAATGGCTGGACACTGCCCTTTGATTTATACTTCTGTAGCTCGTTGGTCTGGCCATTTCCCAGGCCCGTGGTGCACACAGTCCCATACGGTACTTGCTTGACTGGACTAGGACTGACTGGGGCTGGTACCACTGACTGCATGGGTTTGCACCGCCAACTCGATGCAGTCGCACCGCCGACGTACTGCAGTTGGGCTCACCACTTGCCGCTTGCCCACTTGCCCACTTGCCTCAGCCTAAACGTGAGCAACTTCAAAAGGCCACTACCAGGACCTTCCGGAAGTCTGGGTCCTGGCCTTTCGAAGACTGTAGCAGCTACGACCTTGACCCTTCAGGACTGTAGCAGCTACGACCTTGACTCTTCAGGACTGTAGCAGCTACGACCTTGACCTTTCAGAAGATCTACAGCTACGACTTCTAGAACTCCCTAAGACTTCTACTCGACAGGTCTACAGATCGAACCCCTGCTACCTACAGACCCTACGACAGTCTACCAACTGTTACAAATACACAGGTCACGGGTTCAACTCTCGGGGTCGACACAGATACTGTACACAGGTAAGGTAAGAACTAGGGATCGAGCCCTGAGATCTGCATTCGCTACTGCTAACGGGTGAAAACCGTTTCACTCTCTCTCTCTCTCTCTCTCTCTCTCTCTCTCTCTCTCTCTCTCTCTCTCTCTTAGGGAGTACCTGCCCTCCGGCAGTGAGCATTTCCATTCGGAAGTGCTCCCTGTGGAGCGCCCAACTTATTGGGCAGGCTGGGGCCGTGGGCGGTTCCCTCTGGCCATCGGTCCCCCGAAAGAGTCTGACAGCTGGCCCACCATTTTCCACACCTACGTTGCTGTTTTTCTTTTTTTTTTTCCAAAGAAATATTTTGGCAGTGCAGGGGGGTCCTGGACTGCCGGGGCGACCCCACCACAGCGCTGAAACGCGGTCCTCCCCTCCCCCGTGGCTAGCCGCGGTGATCTTCGACTGGGGGCGCTCTTCCCCCCTCGAACTGGGGGTAAGACGGGGTTTGAGCGGAGGTAGAGCGCTGCACTACCCGTAGAGCAGGTACCCCCCGTTCTACCCCCCCAACACACACACACTCAGTTTTGAACCTAGTTTCCACGCCAGGTTCTTCCGCTACTGAAATGTACATCTCTGTCACTTACAATGGCCTTCGGTAATCCAAAATCTTTGGTCCAGCTATCAGGGAATTCATTTATTACTAACTCGGTCTTAGTGGTAGCTGTTAGAGGTATAAAACGTGCAAACTTAGAAAATATATCTATCAACTACAACCAGAATCTGCTTGTTCCCCTGTCTCCTGGTTACCAGCATATCCATGAAATCCATGGCCTGAGATTGACTTGTTCCCTCAGGTATGGGGAGTGGCTTTAGGGGAATTGGTTTTCAGGGACGTGGCTTTAGGCTTCGTAAACCCTCTGGGTTTGTTCTGGGTTTGTTCCTTTGACCGCCCTGTGAAAGGAGCAAACCCAGAACAAACCCAGTGGCTTTGGGGCAAGTGGCTTTGGGCTCACTAAAGGGGTCTAATCTTCTGGGTTTGCTCCTTGACTGCCCTGACAACTCTAAACAAACATCTGGGCTATGTTCTGGGTTTGTTCCTAGGTTTGTTCTGGGTTCGTTCCTAGGTTTGTTCTGGGCTTGTTCTGGGTTCGTTCCTAGGTTTGTTCTGGGTTTGTTCCGGGTTTGTTCCGGGTTTGTTCCGGGTTTGTTCCAAGTTTGTTCCGGGTTTGTTCCGGTTTGTTCCTAGGTTTGTTCTAAGTTTGTTCTGGGTTTGTTCCGGGTTTGTTCCGGGTTTGTTCCAGGTTTGTTCCAGGTTTGTTCCTTTCAACAAACATCTGGGCTATGTTCTGGGTTTGTTCCTAGGTTTGTTCTGGGTTCGTTCCTAGGTTTGTTCTGGGCTCGTTCCTAGGTTTGTTCTGGATTTGTTCTGGGTTTGTTCCGGGTTTGTTCCGGGTTTGTTCCCGGTTTGTTCCGGGTTTGTTCCGGGTTTGTTCCGGGTTTGTTCCGGGTTTGTTCTGGGTTTGTTCCAGGTTTGTTCCTGTTTGGCCACCAGAACCGCTGCAACAAATTAGCACGTCTTTCACCAGAACCGCTGCAACAAATTAGCATGTCTTTCACCAGAGCCGCTGCAACAAATTAGCATGTCTTTCACCAGAGCCGCTGCAACAAATTAGCATGTCTTTCACCAGAGCCGCTGCAACAAATTAGCATGTCGTTCACCAGAGCCGCTGCAACAAATTAGCATGTCTTTTTTAAGTTCGATCCCAAAGTGACCAGTTGTATCATGACATTTTCCTAGAAAGCGACTCTTAAGAGACTCGTTGTCGTGCACACACAGTCTTTCTACCCCGTCCTTATTACTCAAAAAGTGACAAAAACTGCAAACCGTCCACCATTCTATAGTCTTCACACACCTTCCTACTATCCTCTGTGCGCAAACGTTGTTTGATTTCATTAAGAATTCTGTCATTCTCGCAGGACTCTTTCACCTGCCGATGTACACCCCTTTCCAACTCCAACTCAGTCACAAGTGCACCACCTACAAAATCCGCTCCCGTAACAATGCATCCACAACCACATTATATTGCCATTTCAGTGATTTTCAATTTTTCACATGTTTCAGCATGAAGTCAAACATGTCATGAATGACAGCCAGCGCTTGAGCAGATAAGATAGTGCACCACCTACAAAATCCGCTTCCGTAACAATGCATCCACAACCACATTACACTGCCATTTCACTTGTTTCAGCGTAAAGTCAAACATATCATGAATGACAACAGCAAGCTCATCTTGAGAATATACGATACTATTCGATTGACTTGAAAGGTTGCCTGGAAATACGCTACTTTGTCAAAGAGCAATGGAGGACTAGGGATCATTGACCCAACAGCCCATATCAGCATTTGATCTCACATGCACACCATCAGAGCTTTATAGGATCAGAGAGTTAGCATGTTGTTTTTCCCCCCCCTCTAAAAAGAGTCTAAATACAAAACTCCCTCTAACATGTTTTTTTTTTTTTTTTCCTGGATCATGTCTAAGTTTTGGCCCTTCGGCAATGAAGGGTGTCAGATTGGCTGGTAATGAATCTGCTCAAAAGAAGCTCAAATTGTGAAAAGGGTCATATTGGTTGTATCTCCTCAAAATATGGAGGGAGATCTTTCCGGCTGAGGTAAGGGGACCACAAAATAAGGAGGAAGTACTAAGGCAGCCATTCTTCTCTAATCAGTGAGTAATGGATTTGCACAATTTTGCAGCCAAACCTTCACAAGTGGTTAACAGGGACCCCCACCTTTCAGCCCTTTTTTTTTTTTTTTTTTTTTTTTTTTTTAACAACCCGTAGGGGTGCTGGTAAGAGCAGACACCACTAGCATTCCCTGGGAGGGTCCATCTATTGGTGGGGGGCAGCACCTGCTGGAAAACAGGTCCAGCGTCCATGAACATTGTCTCAGTTTATTTGAACAGACATATAGTTGTGGTGATAGACAGCTGCAGTGCTGAACTACCACGTACAGAAATTAGGGAAGTAGAGCTTAGAGTGTTGCCTGACTGACATGCCGCACTGACAACCTACATTGAGTCTTGCTTTAATGATAGTATACACAAATCACCTATGTACTCCTGAGGGATTTGGAGACAGATCTCCCCGATCCCCTCAACAAGAGTCCTTCGTGTTCCTATGTTGGAGTCTCGTGTTTGGAGCATTTGTAGTATGGGATCCACTTGGGCCATGACATATTATGGCTGCTGGAACCATTCGCAGCCCCTGCGCCAGCCGTCGTTTTTTATCTGTCTTGAAGCCGGGGTTCCTTCGTCCTTGGTCACCTTCCTGGAGTCTTGTGTTTGGACTCTGGAGCATTTGTAGTATGGGAGCCACTTGGGCCATGACATATTGCGGCTGCTGAAACCATTTGCTGCCCCCTTTTCGGCCCTATGTTAACAACCCAAGCACTGAAAACTTGAAAAAAGTGCATTTGGGGATTTTTTTTTCTTCTTCAGTTTTTAGACTTTTTTCTTTTTTTTGCCCTGTTTTGCAGGAGGTTTGTTATAAAGACCATGGAAAAACCCTGAAAATTTAGGGCTCTGTTAACCTTCTCTATGGCCACCAAACGGACATATGATGATATGACGTCCAGATGCGAAGGGTGCATGCAATCAGGAATGGAGGAACAGCCCTCTGGACACATTGCTGCAGAAACCATGGGACTGTGGTCATTCTGAGAGAGAGAATGGCGCCTGCTGCCGATTGTAACGGTACCTGTAGCTGTGCAGAGGGGAAGGTCGTGGAGTCTTGACGCATTGCCCTGCTGCCGCACAGGGGCAGAGAAGTGATCCTTAACATAAAACAAAAGAGTGCGCGGACCGTATTGCTTGGGCAAGAAAACATCATTGCTGTGAAGGAAATCCTGAACATCAACCATCACATGGACTACGTACGGTGCTATCGTCCACAGCTCCCAGACGTCAGAGGCATGACCAACGGTCATGTGATGGTAATGTCCATGACTCCATGTATATTGCAGGCAGAGATGTGGGATGGAGAGGAGGACACCACTCACTGGGCAAAGCCTGCGGCAATTCAAGTTGGCGGTTCCCCATTGCAACTTAGAGGACCTCAATTGTAAAGCCTCCTTCCTTGGTACAGTTATTACCTTCTGCCTCTTGGCAGGGAAGATCCACATCAAGCTGAAGGGCAATTGCAAGTCCAGCATCATATAACGCAGGCGGTGAAAGACGTGCAGACAAGCACTAGCAGCCTCCAGACCGCAGAGATGGGGGAGGTGCTCAATGAAATTAGAGGAAAAGGGATCACAGAGATGCTCCTCACTTTCGAGAGCCGGCTGGCTGCCATACCTGCATCGTACCGCAAATCATTTGAGGCCACAAACAAGAGACACGTAGCAAGCGTCCTTCGGGGCATCCGTTAAAATTGGAACGATACAGAGAAGATTAGCATGGCCCCTGCACAAGGATGGCATGCATAAATTAAGAAATCGTATTTAAAAAAAAAGAGACACGTAGCAAGGGTAAGAGGCAAGCAAGGAGAAGTAGAAGACCCGAACAGACGAAAGAAGACTAGGAATAAGGACTCTAAGGAGAAAGCACTGCATACTCGTGCATAGGACATACTACCAGTGTGGTACTCACACGAATTTGTGTCTCAGCATTCCGCAACTCCGCTTTCATCTTGGCATGCAACTCCTCCCGTGCTTGGACCTCCTTCTGTAAGTTCAAGTCTGAGAGCTTCTGAGCAAAAATCAGCTCAAACACCTGTTCCCCAAACATACAGCCAAGTACACAAGCATCAGATCACAGAAGCAGAAGCAGAGACATGTGCAACAAGGTGGGCTCTCCATCCACATTCTTCTGCTGCTCCTCTTACTACTGCTACTCCTAGTCGTCCTCCACCTTGACAACGCAAACAAATGTGTGTGTGTGTGTGTGTGTGTGTGTGTGTGTGTGTGTGTGTGTGAGAGAGAGAGAGAGAGAGAGAGAGAGAGAGAGAGAGAGAGAGAGAGAGAGACCACCGCCTGGCATGAAAGGGGGTCACTGGGAACGGAGCTCGCTGGTCTAGCTTTATTGCGCCAAAAATGGATCGGGGCTCAAGTGGTTCACCGAAGCGACGGAGTCACGAGACCAAACAAAATCAATGTCGCAATCGCCAGGCGTCTCCAGGCACGAAGTGCAGCAAGACATGCTGCACACGAAGTGCTATTCTTTGCCATTCGATTTGATCTTCAGGGTCAGTAGAGGAACATTCTGTCAGTTGAGGAGGGCTGTTTGTGAAAACAGCTGGAGACATCAGAAGTGAGAATGCTGACATGAGTAACAAAAAATCAGGCCCTTCTTTTTTAAGACGCTCATAACTCGAGCTAAAGACTCCACGGACCAGCTTTTCTCGGGTTTCTTATCAGCTCCTCCTCCAGGCTCTCCCACTTTGTGGCCTTCAAATATCGACGAACATACAATGGGAAAAGTCAAATTGTACACATTCAAAACAGTGTGTGTGTGTGTGTGTGTGTGTGTGTGTGTGTGTGTGTGTGTGTGTGTGTGTGTGTGTGTGTGTGTGTGTGTGTGTGTGTG